TAGATATCCGTCACCCGAAGAGACTGGTCATACTTATTTCTTTGTAAACAACAACAAATAGCCCCAGGCATACATTATAAAGGGATCACATGTGTCAGTAAAACTCACAAATGATAGGAGCTATGTGAACGAAACTTTGTATACATAATGTATTCAATCACCAACATCAAAATCACAACAGTACATGTTTGTAAACAACAAGAAATAGCCTCTGGCTATTTTCTTTAAATTTACTTCTTCACTCCACAAAATTGCTAACTGTAGCACGCATAGAGATGAAACTTGGTAGTATGCCTATTATATCATTTCCATGACGATTACATGTTTCCATAACGACCGCATTTTGTTTGAAAAGGCCTCAGGAAATTTCTTTAAAACCACTTCTTCACTCCTCAAACTTGCTAACTGTAGCACGCATGGAGGTTAAACTTGGTGCGCATGTGTATTACATCGTTTCCATGACGACCACAACAACAAATAGCCTCAGGCACTTTTCTTTAAAATTACTTCTTCACTCCTCAAACTTGTAAACGGCAGCACACATGGAGATGAAACATTGACAACAGGCACTTTTTCTCTATTATTAATTTTTATAGGGGCTTACCCCCTTCCACAGAGATAATACGTAGTAGTATATAAAAATGAGTGGAGACAAGTAATTTTAAAATCCTGCGAATTTAAAAAAAAGAGGTATATAGGGATGGTAGGGAGACAAGATAGGGATGGGGTACATGAAGCATGGTTAATGAACAGATTTGAGCACGCTGACACCCCGACCCCATCACACAATCTGTATGTTTTTGCCTAGGTGTGCTACCAAGCATTCTTTCACCATTTCCCCGTTGTTTTTAGTAACATTTACACTGCCACATTCCCTTTAAATAAACTCCACTTGGACTCTATAGGGGTGTTGGTTACTCAGTCAGTTCTGAGTATTGTATATAATGGTGAATGTTTAATACTTCACCTAGGCAACAATATAGGGATTGTGTGATGGGGTTGGGGGTGTCAGCGTACTCAAACCAGTTCATTAACCATCCCATCCCTATCTTGTCTCCCTTTCTTTTTATACCATCCCAATATGCCTCTTTTTGAATTAGCAGGATTTTTAATTCACTTGTCTCCACTCATTTTTATATACTACTACGTATTACATTGTGGAAGGGAGCAAGCCCCTATAAAGATGCCTATTGTCGTCAAGGAAATGATATGCATGCAATGTTTCATCTCCATGTGTGCTGCCGTTAGGAGTGAAGAAGAAATTTTAAAGAAAAGTGCCTGGGCCTATTTGTTGTTGTTTACAGTAAACAATGTTGTATACAAAGAAATAAGTATGACCAGTCTCTTCGGGTGATGGATATCTACATTCTTACAATATTTCATTACTATAATGTCATTTTGTTTTTGAGTTACGCGAGTTCAATCTGAAGAAGAAGAAGAAAACTCCCCATCATAGCCCCATACATCTATGTTGCTAGGTACCATGCCGAACAGGAAGAAGAAGATAAACAAAACTCCCTATCATAGTTCCATACATCTATGATGCTAGGTACCATGCCCTTCCCTATAATATTTTAAGTACTACAGTACATAGTGATCATTTACATGACGCCCGCATATTGTTTGAAAAGCCTCGGGCAATTTTCTTTAAAACTACTTCTTCACTCCACTTGGTGCGCATGTGTATTGCATCGTTTCCATGACGACCAAAACAACAATATAGCCTCAGGCACTTTTCTTTTATTAAAAAATGCTAAATGTAACACGTACGCAGGTGAAACTTGGTGCACATTTGTTTTACATCGTTTCCATGACGACCACAACAACAAATAGCCTCAGCCACTTTTCTTTAAAACTATTTCTTCACTTCTCAAACTTGCTAACTGTAGCACGCATGGAGGTGAAACTTGGTGCGCATGTGTATTACAGTTTCCATGACGACCACAAATATGACGGATGTAAAACGTTGTTACGGCGAGACTCGTGTTATTGACTCCGTCATCGACGGTGCATGACCCAGCATACAACAACGCTACAACGCGTGCATTTTTACGCCGATGGTTTGCACTTTAGTGCTTTTCATGTTTACAGTAAACAATATTGCTTACAGACAAAAAGTATGACCATGCTCTTCTGGTTATTGATATCTACATTCATACAAAATATTATTATGATTATGTTATTTCGTTTTCCAGTTATGATAGTTCGATCTAAATAAGAAGGAGGAGAAGATGAACAAAACTCTCTATCATACCCTTATACATCTACATATGATGCTAGGTAAATGCCCATCCCTATCAGAGAGTCGGCAGATGCTCTATACACGGATGACACGGGCCAAATCTCACATGATCTGCGTGCAAAAAGCCTAAGAATGACTAGCTATGCCTTCAAAAGAACACGATTAGAAGCAGTCTAAGGGCGCATATCTAGCGAAACAAATGTCCGCACGCGAAACACGTTATACTTTGCGTCTGACGGGTACTGCGGAAAGGCAATGCAACCCAAACATGTCAAGAGCCCTTTGTTTAGAAGAAGAGCTGCTCTGGGTGGGATTTGAACACATGACACTCTGCTGTCCAGGCGAGCGCTCTAATTACTAAGATACATGTGTATCAACAGAGATTTTAGAATCAGGCTGATCACTAAGTACGGTAGTACTTAGTATATAGGGATTGGCATGGTACCTAGCATCATAGATGTATGGGGCTATGATAGGGAGTTTTGTTCATCTTCTCCTTCTCCTTCTCCTTCTCCTTCTCCTTCTTCAGATTCAACACCCATAACTCAAAAACGAAATAACACACAGTAATGATATTTTGTAAGAATGTAGAAATCCGTCACCCGAAGAGACTGGTCATACTTATTTCTTTGTAAACAACATTGTCTACTGTAAACAACAACAAATAGCCCCAGGCAATACATTATAATGGGATCACATGTGTTAGTATAACTCACACATGGTAAGAGATATGTGAACGAAACTTGTAGACATAATGTATTCAATTACCAACATCAAAATCACAACAGTGCATGTTTGTAAACAACAACAAATAGCCTCCGGCTATTTTCTTTAAATTTACTTCTTCACTCCACAAAATTGCTAACTGTAGCACACATAGAGATGAAACTTGGTGCGTATGCCTATTATATCATTTCCATGACGATTACATGTTTCCATAACGACCGCATTTTGTTTGAAAAGGCCTCAGGAAATTTCTTTAAAACCACTTCTTCACTCCTCAAACTTGCTAACTGTAGCACGCATGGAGGTGAAACTTGGTGCGCATGTGTATTGCAATATAGCCTCAGGCACTTTTCATTAAATTTACTTCTTCACTCCTCAAACTTTCCAACGGTAGCACGCATAGAGATGAAACTTGGTATGTATGCCCATTGTATCATTCCCATGACAATTACATGTTTCCATGACGACTGCATTTTGTTTGAAAAAGACTCAGGCAATTTTCTTTAAAAACACTTCTTCACTACTCAAACTTGCTAACTGTAGCACGCATGGAGGTGAAACTTGGTGCGCATGTGTATTGCAATATAGCCTCAGGCACTTTTCTTTTACTAAAACTTGCTAACTGTACCACGTATGCAGGTGAAACTTGGTGCACATTTGTTTTACATCATTTCCATGACTACCACAACAACAAATAGCCTCAGGCACTTTTCTTTAAAAATACTTCTTCACTCCTCAAACTTCCTAACTGTAGCACACATGGAGGTGAAACTTGGTGTGCATGCGTATTACATCGTTTCCATGACAACCACGACAACAAATAGCCTTTTCTTTCTTCACTCCTCCAAAGTTCCTAACTGTAGCACACATGGACTGTAGCGCACGTGGAGGTGAAACTTGGTACGCATACGTATTACATCATTTCCATGACGACAGGCATTCTCTTATTAGGGGGCTTGCCCCCTTCCACAGAGATAATACGTAGTAGTATATAAAAATGAGTGGAGAGAAGTAAATTAAAAATCCTGCGAATTTAAAAATGAGGCATATAGGGATGGGATACATGAAGCATGGTTTATGAACACATTTGAGTATGCTGACACCCCACATAATCCCTATATTGTTGCCTAGGTGAAGTATTACACATTCACCATTACAATAGTCAGAACTTATACTACAAAAAAGTCATGCTACTGAGTAACCAACACCATTATAGAGTCCAAGTGGAGTTTAATTATAGGGAATGTGGCAGTATAAATTAAACAATAGGGACACGGTGAAAGGATGCTTGCTTTTAGCCCTTACAATTACAATGCGACATTCCCTATAAGAGTAGCACACCAGGCAACAATATAGGGATTATGTGATGGGGTCGGGGTGTCAGCATACTCAAATGTGTTCATAAACCATGCTTCATGTATACCATCCCTATCTTGTCTCCCTTTCTTTTTATACCGTCCCTATATGCCTCTTTTTTTAATTCGCAGGATTTTTAATTTACTTGTATAAGTTATATGTCATTTTGTACAACAACAAAAAGGAAACACTTAGTGCGGTATCCATTTTAACTCCCATGTACATGCAGGGATCAGCATCTCTAATTGATGGCACGCTGTCTATTATTACGCCATTATTTTTTTAACAAAGCTTTTATGAATACCCCTATTTAAAAAATAAAGCCAGTTGTTGTGAACCCGTTTGTATTGCTTTTATTGTGCATGGTGAAGAAAACAAACAGAGAGATGGACAGACCAACAGACAGACAAGGCCTTTGGTGAATACATGGGAGGAAAATGTACTTGAGCTTGACTGTGGGTAGCAAACGTATATACCACAGTGACAGACGGTCATCACCCTACCTTGTCTCCTTCCTTTTTATACAACTGTTTATAACCCTATCCCTATATTTAACATTTTCATTTTTACACTTCCCTATATTTACCATTTTCTAATTCAAAGTGTACAAGAACTGTATATACACTCACAGCTCATCCAAGACTGTGTAATTAAAGTACAAGCGTTACATACAAACCATTGGAGAGTTGGCATCTGATTGATTGAAGTCCAAACTGTCCAGTTTTCTTAGAGCTTGAGCTTTCAATTTACTCTGCCTAGGGTTCCATACATCTGTGATGAATTTCTCCTGTGAGGTTGAGCAAAATTAATAGTGACCTTAAGGTAGAAATATAGCACATGTGCGAAATTACTAGTGACAGTAAGATAGAAATATAGCACATGTAGATAGAAATAAGATAGAAATGTAGCAAGATAGAAATGTAGCACATGTGCATGAAAACCTCCTCATAGATAACACAGGGGGGAAACAGGGGGGCTGTATAGGGCTACTGGATTAAAAAAAGACGATTGGGCAGGCTACACAATATTAATAACTGGTCCGACATGACGGCAGTGGTAAGTAAGCTAAAAAGAGGACCCATGTAGATATGGATATCACAAACAGTCCAACTGCACCTTGCTGTAGTTGTATTCAAACTAGGCCAAACAAAATGTAAAGGAACAAGCAAATGGCTAAGGGTTCTTCGACCCCTGCGAGTGTGCAATGTATATATTATATTAAAGTGTATCAGGAATCTCAAGGGCACAGATGGACACTGACGATGAACCTTTCCTGAAATGATGCAGAGAGAACAGTTCTAACTAGCAGTGATGGGATGCTACCAAAAGTGTAGAATATAGGGATGCCATAAAAAGCAAGGAGACAAGACAGGGATGACCTAGTGCATGTGATGGAGTAGAACAATGGATGATGGCTACATGTTTTGAACTGTCTTGCTCCTGTAAAATTTCCTCCACACAAGCCCTATATCGTCTCAAAGTATGAGTGTGCTCCCTTGCATGATGCACAGCTATGATTTATTTCAAAGCACAGTAGACAGGTAATACAATCTACGCGGTTTTCAGCTGTGACTGTATTGGGTGAAGTGTAAGACTTCTCTTCTATATTTGCTCATCTAACCAGTTTTACAATGCTGAGTTCTTGGCCATCTACATATAGAATCCTTTCACCATTGTCCTCGCACTTTACTAAACAAACAGTAAAGGTGGCAACAATACAGGGCTTGTGTGAAGGAAATTTTACAGGAGCAAGCGATTCAATGTCATCACTTACACTCAAGTCCTCCCACTCAGTACAATAATGTAAGGGCTCAGCTCTGAGTACTTGCCGAGCAACAGCGCCTAGTCCAGATTTTTTTTCTAAAACAGGGAAAATTTAAAACCACTTTGCTCTCCCTCTAAACTATGGCTCAATCAAACTTTAAGTATGATTTGTGTACCTAATACCCTCCTACTTTTAACTCTTGGGGCGCACACACAGCAAGGGTCACGATACTTTGTGTGTGTGTCTGTGTGTGTCTATCGGCACTTATTCTGGCACTACAGGTTACAAGGCGGCCTATGTATAAGAGATACTAACACCTTGATAGACACCACTGCGTGAAAAACGAAAAAGATGTGCCACGAAAACAAACAAAAATGCAAATATGCATAATCACACAACGAACCAGATTAATTTGCTCTGTGTACCTTGGAGCAAGAAGTAAAAATGGAGGGCGTGTATCGAGTCCACGTGCTATCTACTATAGTCAAACCTGTATGACTTGTCAGACTCTCGGCAAGCTTCTAGTAGACCACGGCGCGACCACAAAATGCATAGCACAGCCTATTAATTGTCTCCACTGCGCATATATGTATTGGGTTGAGGTTCCTATTGTCAAAGATGGTTGGTTTGTACAGTGCTCTTCATTCTCTTTTCCCTCACCCTACAAAAAATGTCTTCCTATTCTGAATGCACAAACTATGATAATCATTCTTAAGGCACAAACTAAGAGAATCAAATGATCAGGCAGAATCATTAAAACAATTATATAAAATATAAACCAGCATGAACAAGCAGTACAATAGTTGCGCAACTTCTCAAAGATGCTGCCTACTGTATATATGTTGAGGACCGATTAAAAACCCGACCCATCTTTAAGCTGTCTGATGGCTTCAAAACAGGCCAGATGGCTTTAAAACAGGCCGGACGGGTTTAGTATGGGCCAGACGGCTTTAACTCCAGCGTGACTGCTTTCAAGCCACCCCGTCGGTAAAGCTGGATGGTTCTTAAGCAGACCCGGCACAAAAATGCTAAGGATGGCCTTGTCTACAAACGGCTTAACTGCGTAACGGCTGTTCCAGCCAACGGGCTTGCGTGCACGGTCCGTGCATGTACGAAATCATAAAACTGGGCCAGGAAAAGTGTAGAAATGGCCTAAAATGCCAGCAGCTGTTCCAGACAGCGACCTTGCGAGCATAATCCGTGTATGCATAAAACAGGGCCGGGAACATGTCCTAACCATGCTATATAGCAGTTGTTCCAGCCAGCAGCCTTGCGAGCGCTGTCGACCGCACCATGCAAGCGGCAAGAGACAGGTGAGTGGAGTCGCTGTGATCGATCTTGCATTCGCCCATCGCGCGCATGAGCTGATTAATTGACAAGGACGGCTTCTAGAATCTGGTCGGGGTCACATAAAATCCGTCCAGACAGTTCTAAAACTGGCTGATCAATCTTAAACCCGCCTGGAAGCGTTAAAACGGGTCTTGGTTTAATTGCTCCTCGGTACTGAATGTAATATTCAACGGGATGTCGTAAAACCACATACACATGATTTCGTGATATTTGAAACTTTCAGCATTGTCAATGGATCACTTCTGTGTGCCTGGATACGACAGAGACAGGGATGTGCTTTCGAAAACGTAGTAGTTTCGAGGGTAGCTCTCTATAACCTTTAGCTTAAAGAGATTTCAGCAAATACTCTCAGAAATGTGGGATGATCAACAAATTTCGTGTGGCAACTAAAAAATGGTCCAGTGATCATGCGCGCTCTATGTGTAAACCACAACAAACTGAACCAACAAATAACACCCAGTTAATACCCTGACAATATTTTCTTAGCAGATGCAGGAAGGCCGAAATGAGCTTCTGTGTCTAACATTTATGTGGATAATCAGCAGTCATACATTGCACCAATAAGTGAAAAATCTGAGTTACCCCATGGTACCTACAATTACATGATGGTGGGAACACTTAAGGGAACACAGAACAATGAAAAGCACTAAAGTGAAAAGCTCGGTGCACTGCGCACATGCGGTACCGTTAATCGATAGGCGGGGTTTTGAGTATGCGTGTTCAAAAATTACATTACCTTAGTGCGGCTTCTAACAGAAACAGGAACAAGTTCATTCTCATGCTTTAGTCCAATATGCCACTCTCCAGTAGGGTTGCACCACTCATCAGGAATGTCTACAATTTTGCCATCCAAAGACCTGATATTCCTGCTACTAATAGCATCTGTTCTCCTAACACAAGACGTGTCCACATCACCACTGCCTGTTGCATCTATAATATCAAGAATCTTAGCTCTTCCTTCAGTGGTCTCCTAGTGGAAGAAAAATAAGCTGTAATCACATAGGCCCACACATTAATCAACAGTACTGAGACGAGAATCAAGATATATATAAAATTGCAAACCATGGAGACATGGCTGGTGAAGTGGAACTGTGTGTTGCCTAATGCACAAACACACATGCACCTACAAAAAGGCATGACCCAATTTCTCGATTGGTCTTTGTCATACTTCCTAATTGTGTTGATATCCATCTCGTAGAACATTAAAAGCACACCCATGCCACACTCTGCATGTGAAGCACCACTATTGATTGTCGGAGCTATGAGTATGAGTATACTCGTTGCCTCCACGCTAGTAGCTCGCGGATAGTCAGACACAGAATAGCTACACCAGTAGAATAGTACGCACGAGTCGATAGGCGCTATTTGCTGTGCCTCCAAGGTATACAGAGCGAGCAGATCAGGTTGAAATAGTTCAAGTACGACTATGCATTTGGCTTTTTCAATGTTTTCATAGCATATCTTTGTGTCGGTTCAGGAAAATAGCAACTTCGTTTATGACGCTCGCATCGTTCTGAAGCTGTTGGTATCGCTCATAGGCTGTTTCATAGCCTGTAGTGCCAGAATAAGCATCAACAAACAGGCAGACAGACGGACGGACAGAGAGAGACCAAGTACTGTAACACTCGCTGCGCAACAGTAAACAGCACAAAGCTATAAGGTCTGCTTTTCAACATGAAGAATAAAGATGATAGAATTATGGCAAACAATGGTCTGATACCGAGTATTATCGCGCGGTATTGTACGCAAGAGTACAATATGTAGCTTTCCTAAAACTTAAGAAAGTTAAGAAAGAGGTGTTGCCCTCTCTGACAGGTCCTCGTTTGAACTTATGAAGACAATGATGGAAGTACTGTACAAGGAGCATTTTCCCACAATCTCCATGACAAGTAGCTGATCGGCATACGGACATTTGTTGTAAAACTTTGGCATGCACAAATTATCGTTGGGTAGACTACAAAAAAGGTCAAAACAACTTTTTCCAATGCTTTCCTCAACTTCCCATTCCTAATTCCTAAAACTCAAGGAACAGACAGTTGAAGTGTTTTCTGCTAAAACAAGCGAAAAGCTAAAAGAATCAGAGCACAGGGCTTACCTGGACCAGATCCACTTGCAACTGTGAACCTTAGAGCAACACAACGAAGGGCATGCATTGACTACCATGAAATAGTTACATAGTCATAGGTGTATGCAGATTTAGGAAGCCGAGGCACTGAGACCTAGGCATACTGAGCGCAGCTAGGATACTACTACAGTGTCCAAGGCATCCTAAATAACGAGGTTTCCAAGACTCGTCGTGTAACTATTCCAGAGTGTGAAATATTAAAAATGTAACAAAGACCCATGGGGGTGAGCACTTTTCTTTTAAAACGTACTTCTTCACTTGCAAAATGGAAGCACCAATGCAGATGAAAATTTCTACCAAAATGTATTACATCACTTCCATAGCAACATGTGTCATATATGTGTTACTTAGTCTACTTGCATATCAATTTATTGAAAAATGGACTATTACCTAACTACACTTCTTCACTCCCCTAGCAATACCACAAACAACACAAGCGCTAAAGTAACAAGTAAATTAAAAATCTGCGAATTGAAAAGGAGGCACATACGGATGGTACAAAAAGAAAGGAAGACAAGACAGGGATGTGATACATGAAGTATGGTTAATGAACAAATTTGAGAACGCTGACACCCCCATCACACAATCCGTAGATTGTTCCCTGGTGCGCTACTCTTATAGGGAATGTGGCATTATAAAGGTTACTAAAAGCAAGCATTCTTTCACTGTGACCCTGTTGTTTTTTAGTAACATTTCTACTTTTATACTGCCACATTCCTAAACTGCACTTGGACTCTATGACGGTGTTGGTTAACCAGTAGCATGACTTTTATTGTATAATAAGTTTGGAGTGTTGTAATGGTGAATGTTTAATACTTCACCTAGGCAACAATATAGTGATTGTGTGATGGGGTTGGGGATGTGAGCGTGCTCAAAACTGTTCATTAACCATCCTTCATGTATCCCATCCCTATCTTGTCTCCCTTTCTTTTTATACCATTGCTACATGCCTCTTTTTCAAATTCGCAGTATTTTAAATTTACTTGTCTCCATTCATTTTTATATACTACCACGTATATCTCTGTGAAAGGGGGCAAGCCCCCTCTAACAATTAATAATAGAGAAAAATACCTGCTGCCTTTATTGAAATGATGTAATATGCATGCGTACCAAATTCCATCTCAATGTGCGCTGCAGTTAGCAAGTTTGAGGAGTGAAGAAGTAAATGCCTGAGGCCATTTGCAGCTGTTCAAACAATATGTGGTGGTCATGCAAACTATGTCATACGCATTCGTACCAAGTTTTATCTCCATGAGTACTACCGTTAGCAAGTTTGAGAAGTGGAGAGTGCCTGAAGATATTTCATGTCGTTCAAACAATATTTTATCGTCATGGAAAAATGAAGTTATCATGGGAATGATGTAACATCCATGCATATCAAGATTCATTTCCATGCATGCTACCGCAAGCAAGTTTAAGGAGAAGCGCCTGAAGCCATTTTAACAATATGTAGTCATCATAGAAACATTTAGTTGTTATGGAAATGATATAATACACATGTGTACCAGGTTTAAATCTCCGTGAGTGCTACATTTAGCGAGTTTGAGAAGTGAAGAAGTAATATTTAAGAAAATTGCATTAGGCTATTAATTTTTGTTCAAACGAAGTGGTTATCATGGAAATGATGTTACACGCATGCATACCAAGTTTCATCTCCATGAGTGGTACCGTTAGCGAGTTTGAGGAGTGAAGAAGTAATTATAAAGAAAAGTTTGTGAGGTTTTTTGTCGTTGTGGTCATCATGGAGAGGATGTAACAAACATGCACACCAGGTTTCACCTCCATGAGTTAGCAAGGAGTGAAGAAGTACTTTTAAAGAAAAGTGCCTGAGGCTATTTGTCGTTCTGGTCATCATGGAAACGATGTAATACACATGCGTGCTACAATTAGAAAGTTTGAGGAGTGAAAAAGTAAATTTAAAGAAACGTGCCTTAGGCTATTTGTTGTTATCGACAAACATGTATTGTTTTGATCTTAGCTATTGAACACATTATGTACACAAACTTTCGTCCACATGTAGCTCTTACCAATTGTGATTACACTGACACATGTAGTATAATTATAACGTATTGCCTGGGGCAATTTTATGTTGTTCACAGTAAACAACATTGTTTACAAACAAAAAGTACGACGTTGTACATGTGGTTATGGACATGTACATTCCTACAAAATTTCATGTCTTTATCTGTTTTGGTTTTTGAGTTAAGAAGAAGAAAAAGAAGAAGAGGATGAAGATGAACAAAACTCCCTACCATAGCCCCATACATCAATGAAGCTAGGTACCATGCCTATCCACAATAATATTAAGTACTACCGAACATAGTGGTGAAACACACTAAAGTGCAAACCCTCGGCCCACTAGGAACGGGCGCGCAGAAGTACATGCACGCATTTAGTGCATAGGTGACTCGAATTGACCAAACAGATTTGTTAGTACGAGGTGAGGTAGGAGAGAAGGTAGTAGTGTGTGGCAGGGCAGTCAGGTGGTGGGATGACGAGATTAAGCAGAAGATAGAGCAGAGAAGGGAGGCTTACAAGATAATTCTTGAGTGTCAGGATTATCTATGGGAGGAGTATAGTAAACTGCGTAGGGAGGTGAAGAATTTAGTTGTTCAGAAGAAGCTTGAGGTTTGGAACGAGGTAGTGGAAAGAGCATATTTAGGTAATAGGAAAGAATTTTGGGCATTATTTGTTGGTAGAAGGACAAAGGGTAAGAGGAGGGGGATTACAGCTTTGAGGAATAGTGCTGGGGTGTCAGTGACTAGTACAAAGGGAAAGTTGGAGGTGTTAAAGAGGCATTATCAGCAGTTGGGCACTTGTTAGTGTTGATACAGCCTTTGATGATAGTTGGAAAGAGGAAGTGGATAAGAAACTGTGTGAGTTTCCAACAGATTGTGTGGAAAATGTATTGGATAGGGAAATAGATTTGGAGGAGATTGCAGTGCTGAGTTGAAGAATAATAAGACTGGTGGTAGTGATGGGCTTGTGGGGGAACTCCTATAGCATGGTGGGTCAGGGATGGTAGTGTTACTTAAACAGTTGTTTACAGTAATTTGGCGTGAGGAGTTTGTGCCACCACAGTGGAGGGAGGGCTCATAGTTAACCTGAAGAAGGGAGATAAGGAGGATCTGGGAATTATAGGGCATCAACTCTGCTGAGTGTGGTTGGGAAGTCTTTTGTAAGCATTGACATAGGTGTGAGTCGCAGCATCTGACCTGGCAAAGCATTGCCTGAGCGCATGTGCTGGTTTTTAGGGTTGAAGGGTTGTGTGATCTCATATATAACAGCGATGACTCGTGACTCGTGCAGGGTAGACTAAAGAGGGGAAGGAGACGTATGCATTGTTCTCAGATGTGCAGGAAGGCATACGATAGTGTGTGGCGTAACGGCTGTGGTTTAGTTGTGGGAATTTGGGGTAGAAGGGAAGATTGTGGAGGGTCATAAGAAGATGTAAGCGAGTATTCAAAGAGTGCTGTATTGTTGCATGGGGAATGGTCAGAGGCATTTGATGTGGAACAAGTAGCTCAGGGATGTTGCTTACCTTCAAATCTGTTTTCCGTATTTATCAATGGGGTTTGGAGGGAGGTGGAGGAAGCTGAGATTGGGATCGATTAGTATTTTAAGTAGTGGTGGGAGACTTGGTAGGACTTTTGTTGCAGATGATTTCGTTGGTGTTTGTGAGTCTAAGGATCAGTTACAGACGCTTATAGATGTGGTGCATGCCTACTGTCGAAAATGGAGGCTAAAGGCTAGTGTGAGTAAGATGGTGTTCGCTAGGGAGTCAGGGGATGGTGCTTGGAAATGGGGGGAGTATGTTTTGCTTAGAGTATCAAAATGCACATACT